CGAGACCAAGATCCGAATTCTCAATGTGGAAATGTGTGGACCCCCAACATATTCAACCATGATAGAAGATACTAGAAAAATCGTCCCCAGACAATGTTTGGCCTATTTTTGAATATTCCCCCTGTAGAGGGACAGGCCCGACTTACGCTGGGGGGGGCAATCCACTTCCCATCGGACTCACCCCTCACCACCTCCGACAACCCAGACCCTGTCATCAACGGACGTCGCGAAGATGTGCCAACCACTATCGAAGCCGGTGCCGTCTCGTGCCTCTGTGCGGACTTCACCAGGCGCATCGGCCCTAAACATTTGGCGGCTCAGTGGTCCCAACTGTTTCGCTGCCCACTGCCCAACATGCATTCGGTGAGGCGGCCTCCTGTCGCGAAGTGGGGAGAGGAGGACGAGGGGGCAGGAAAGAGAGGGGGGGGGGGGGCATCAGCGGGAGGAGGGATGGGGTGGGGGCTGACAGCTTGGGCCTCTCTGGGCCTTCTGAGGGCCGCCCGTCGTCACGGCGGGATTGGTAACGAAAAACATGTCCCCCGAAAGGGCTCTCCAGTAGATCGCAACGTGAAAAACCTTGGAACACCTGGGCTGCGGAGGCGACGGGGTGTTCAAGAGCCGCGCATAGTTCAGACAGAGCGCTGAAGCGGAAATCAACCCAACCTTCCTCATGCTGCGCTGCTGCACTGGCGCGGTGGCGGGGGTTGTCACATGCGACTGGATGGGGTGACAAGCTTCTGGTATCATCGTGTCCGACTCGCGGGATTGCTGGGCAGAAAAGGCAGCGGTAAGGAGTGAGACAACACTCCATTCCCAAAGTAATGAAACCAAAGGCACACATGGGGGAGGGGGGGCAACCAAAACGAAATACCAATCGAGTTTCTCTCAATGCTGGTTGTAAGAAGCCTCTCGAGCCTTCCATTGCCCCCTGCACCCCGTAACTGGATGTAATGGCATCAAGAGGGACCCAGGATCTTTCAAACAAGAGGACCCCCAGGCGGATACAAAAAAACTCCCAAACATAGGACCCCAAGAAACCCCAAAGCGGCCCAAGTTGGAACCGGCATCGCGCGCCTCCATGCCATCAAGAGGCCTTCCAGGAGGCCCAAGATTGCACAATATGTATCTCCAGATGCTTCCTGGGCGCTAATGGAGTGTACCCCAGGTCTCACAGGTGGCTCAAGATAGTCCAAACTGGCCTCGAAGACGACCCAATGACGGCTCCAAGACGGCCACGAACTGCCCCAAAATAACGGCGCCAAAGGAGCCTCTAGAGGGGTCCCTGTGTGTACGGACACACGGGGTTCAAGGCCATACCCACAAACACTCACGAGTTTGGCAATGGGGGAAATGATTTCCCCCTCGGGGCCGTCATCGATCCCGCTTTGCGAACCCGGTGAGGAACATCTGAGGGCTGGAAACCCAGCCTCCTCTGGAGGTTTCGGTAGCAAAGAGCCAGGCTTTCCAAGTTGGCGATTCGCCTTGCGCGTGGTGCAAGGCGCGATTGTATATGCGCTCTCGCGCTCAGTCCTGGAAAATGCCACCTCAGCGGACCAGACCGAGACACGCGATTATCTGGAACAAGAACGATGTCATGATGCGATTGGCTCAGGATGCGCTCCAAGAATCCCAGAGTATGCCGGCCCTCGTCTCTGGAGTCCGTGCGGAACAGAAGGAAAGACTGTAAATCTTTGAACGTGTCACTGCAATGCGGCAGGATCATACGGGCGCAAGGCGCCCGTCGGTCGGAAGAATAGAAACATGAAGTAAGAAGGCGTTGGAAGCAGATTGGGCTGCCGCCCGCCACAAGAAGAGGAAGTGAGTGGGAAGATGCTCGACTCTTGAAGTAGGGAGGCGCCTAAATTAGACTGGGACCTGGGCATCCAAAGGTACCTCCTTCCAACGACTGGCGTGTGGGGGCGGCAGCGAGGGTGCGCGAGGGGAGGTCGGTCTCCCGAGGAAGACTCGCAAGGACCCCCGGGAGCCTCGGCGGGGCTGCGCGCGCCGCAGAGGAGGAGGAGGAGGAGGAGAAGGAGGAGGAGGAGGAGGAGGAGGAGGAGGAGGAGGAGGAGGAGGAGGAGGAGGAGGAGGAGGAGGAGGAGGGAGGAGGAGGAGGAGGAGGAGGAGAGGAGGAGGAGGAGGAGGAGGAGGGAGGAGGAGGAGGAGGAGGAGGAGGAGGAGGAGGAGGAGGAGGAGGAGGAGGAGGAAGGATGGGGGAGGAGAAGGAGGAGGAGGAAGATGAGGAGGAGGTGGAGGTGGAGGAGAAAGGGAAGACGCGAGGAGGAGAAGCGAGGAGGAAGATGAGGAACACATTGTTAAGTGACTCTCCCGCACGAGCGCTACAGGCCACGCCCTGGAGTTCGCCCAACGCGAACAAGGAGGATCATGAGAGGGAGGATAATGATAAGCAGGATCATCAAGACTTTGGGGGCGAAGAGCAGTATAACATAAGCTGGTCCGCCGTCGGGGACGCCTGCCGCCCTAAGGCAGTTGGCAAATGTAAGACCCTACGCGGCGCCGTACAGCAAGGAAGGGCTCGACCACACGAGACCTCCCACAAGAAACCCAACGTAAGTTGATTTTGGGCGTAGGGATGTCGCGCCTTCCATAGCAGAACCATCGAAATCCAAGAACCCCCAAGCACCCTCTGGAGGCAAGCAGGGTGTTCTTGGCATGAGCCTCCACAGTAGGGGGCGCAGAGCGGTTTTAAATAGACTGCTCCGCCGTCGGGGACGCCTGCCCCCCAGGCAGCTGGAACATTTATGATTATGACCTTACGTGGCGCCGTAGTGCGGGGTCCAAAAGGGGGTCCAGCTGAAAGGATTCGGATTCGGATTCGGATTCGGAGCTGCGTAGTGCGCGCCGGCGGGGGCGCTGCAATCGGGCGCCGTGGAGCCTAGGTCTGAAACATGAGCGGCGGCGGTCTCTGCGCCGGTCGGCGGCGGCATCCCAGTGCAGTGCTTTAGGAAAGGGGAAAGGACGCACGAGGGGAGAGAGGGGCGAGAGAGACGACAAAGGAAACGCGAACGAGAGAAACTATAACAATGAACACATGTGTTGGGGCAATTTTATGCAAACGCATTGCGCCAGATAATTGTATTGTAGTGTGTTGCAGCTGACATTTTGCACGCGAAGGCCCAGCAACACATTTGCGCACCAGGATGTACTGCACGCCCCAAGTCTATTGCAACCCCACAAATCTATTGCACCAATTCTATTGTACCACCCCCTTTTCGCTGGACCCATTTTGGGTCAACCAGCGCTGCTCACCCTTGTGTTGTGGTCTGGCTGCATCGTAGCTCCTCGCCGCCCTGATCGTATATTAACCCCTCGGTCGTTGAGAGTACAGTCGGAGCTCGACCAGAAGAGAACTTCCACAGGAAACCCAACACTGAGACCCCAGGACGTCCATTGACTTTTGGCATGGGAACGTCGAACTTTCCATAGCAAAGCCATCGAAACCCAAGAAACCCAAGGCACCCTCTGGAGGCATGCAAGGTGTTTCTTGGCATGGGTCTCCGCTGTATTTGCGAGAGTAGGGGTTGCTGGATTCCCAGATCCCAGTCTGCTTTGGGCGCCTTCCTACTTCGAGAGTCGAACGGTTGCCCCATCTTCCCTCCTCTTCTCGGGACGGGCGGAAGCCTAATCTGCTTCCCACGCCTTCCTGTATAGTTGTTTTACCTACTTCTTCCGACTGACGTGTACGCCCCTGCGGGAGACCTGCAGGAGGGCCATCCTCCCCTCCTCTCTGGAGACCTCCCAAATGGGGTCCGAGTTCGCAGATGGGGTCCGAAGATCGCGCCGCATCGACAGTGCGCATCGCCAATGCGTCGTCGATGCGTCGGCGATGCTTCGGCGCAACTGGCGTGGAGAAAGCTGCGCTGCGGATCGAGCCGCAAAACGCAGATGCATCGGCCGTGCGGTACGACCCTCCTGGTCGAAACCCATGCCATCGCTCGGACGTCCATTCCGCGTGCATGTGTCGGTCTCGTGCATGTGTTTATGTGGCAGGATGATCCAGAAAGCTCCTTGATGGCCCTCGCCGAGGAAAAATGCACACGTCCGAGCGATGCCGAGGAACCCCATGCCCAGACCCCCGAGATCACATCTTCGATCGCGGCATCGACTCCCACAGGTCGGGGGGGCGTTCAAGAGGGGGGCGTCCAAGAAGGGGGGTCGCGACTCGTGGCCCGAGGCATGTGCGCGGCCCGTGTGGCATGGGATCTGGAGACATGTCACGGCCCCCCGCCATGGTATCCATCACCCTCCTCTTGGCCGCCCCCAGCGAACACCATTCCCAGACCCCCGGCGTCACAATCTTTTCGCAACGTCGACGTTTTTATCCCACGCGAGGGGGCTCTGGGTCTGGGAGGCCAAGATCCCCCCTCGTGGAGGATCAGACAACAGTTAACATAACAATAAACATTCGGGGGTCCGAGCGGATTTCTCGGGTCCACGCGGGACCCCGTGGCGGCGCCTCCGGCGCCGCCCCTGGCGCGCTCCGCGCGCCAGGGAGGGGGGCCCATCGCCGATCCAAGAAGTCCGAACGGACCTCCGAAAATTGATGTACGTGTCATGTTTTGCTCCCCGACCTAGGACGGCAATGTCATGATAGGATTGGCTCAGGATACATTTCAAGATTTCCATGAGTATCTGGTGGCCCTCGTTTCTGCAGCCCGTGCGGCACACTAAGAAATATGGGACATCGTGGAAACCTTGGAAGTCTTGAAACGTATCACTTGGCGGCGCGCACAATGGGGCAAGTAGGCGGAGGGGGGAAAACTGCTAAGAAGGAGGCTGCTTCTTAGAAGGCGCCGGCCTTACATCTACAGAAGAGGCCCGCGCCTTCCAAGAAGCAGGAGTACCTATAAGAAGCCTTCCCCCTCCCCCCTGCCCCCCCCTGCGCGTGGCCGACACTGGCACTTATTGGCAATCCTGGAAACCTCGGAACTCTTGAAACGTATCATTATCATAACCTCTTGCTCCTGTGGCCGTCGGGCCTCACGACGCGCACGAAGGTCGAGGGCGAGATGCCAGCATCCACCTGGGTGATGCTTGCCATGGCCTCTTGGGGCGGGGCGCCGCCCAGGCCGCATCTGAGCGCGCGTGACGACGACGACGACGACGACGAGGAGGAGGAGGAGGAGGAGGAGGAGGAGGAGGAGGAGGAGGAGGAGGAGGAAGAGGAGGCCGATGATGACGACGACGATGATGATGACGACGACGACGACGACGAACGGACGACGGCGGCGACGACGATGTCGACGATGACGGACGAGGGAGGGTTGCTGGCGGGGCGGCCCCGCGTGCTCGGCCCGCCTCGTCGCTCGGGTAGTGCCCGGGGGGGGGAGGGATCACCACCGGGGGGGTCCGCCGGTTCCTCCTGAGGATCGGGGCTCCCCGGGGGTCGAAGCTCGATGCATAAACACACACTGCTGCTATTTCGGACGGGCGTCGCGCGAATTATAAGACGACCATTAGCTGGGCTAACGGTGCCCATCGGCTAGTGACGTTCCATACCCACGCGCGCGTGTGAACGCAATCACGCGAGGGCTATCCACGAGCACTCAACATCCGTGGCCAGCATGGTTTGGCCATCTGGGATGTCAACGCGGAGCGACCCTTCGACCTCATCTGCTCGGACCACATCTGGGATCCTCACCGGGGGGGTCCACCAGTTCCTCCGGTCGGCGGCGAGCGAGTGGGGAAAGTGAGAAGGAGAAGGCCTCTTTAGAAGACGGCGGGGCTTCTTCAGAAGCCCTCTCGCTTGCTGAGGAGCCTTTGCTTGTCTGCGGGGAAAACTTTGAAGACTTCTCGGAAGGCCGGGGGGCTTCCGAGCCTTCTGAGATCGATTGCGAGATCGATAGTGAGATCGATAGTGAGATCGATTGTGAGATCGATAGTCAGATCGATTGTGATATTGATCGAATGACATCGATCGAGTGAGATCGAGTGTGAGGTCGATCGAGTGAGATCGATCGAGCGAGACCGATAGTGAGATCGATAGTGAGATGAGAAGGCCCTCTCCTTGTCACTCCCCACCCTCGCTCGCCGCCGATCCCGAGGATCGGGGCTCCCGGGGGCCCCGGGGGGTCGAGGCTCGATGCAGCGGCGCCGCGGAGCGACCCTTCGGCCCCATCTGCTCGGGCCGTGCTATAGCGCGAGGGCCCGGAGCATCCACGGCCTGCGCAGGAGCCCCGCTGCCGCGCCCGCGCCGGGCCGGGCCGCGCACTCCAGGTGCGACGGCATGGCGGGTCTGCGCCGCCCCCGCGACGGCGGGGAGCTCTGGGGTCGTTCGGGCGGGGGGGGGGGGGGCTTCTGGAAGGCTCCCGGGCTCCCACTCGCACGGGGGCGTCCAGGAAGCGGGCGCCCAAGAAGGGGGCGTCGCAGATCGTGGCGCGAGGCAGGTGCGCGGACGAGGGGGGTGGCCAGAGAACGTGCTGCAAGTAGAATAGGAGGGGGCCATGACACCTGGGGAGGTATCATGGCCCCAGCCATGACATCTCCTCCTAGTGGGCGCCCCCGATCTCTCCTATCTTCCACTCTCCTCCACCTATGGGGAGGTGCTTCCGTGGGGCAGCGGCAAAAACTGCCGACCACGAACAACATTAGGGACACTTCAAGTTCGTGCATCCGGTGGGGGGGGCCGAGGCGCACTGCCCAGGGCTGTCTTCTTTTTTGCTGTGGTTTCATCACGGTCGGGGTGAAAGCCGCGGCCCGTCCTCGGCACCCTTCATTCTGGGGGCCGGCGGGCGCGCACGACATCTCCGTGAGGGGACGGGCCGACCAGCGGCTGGCGCGGGGCGGCCGTGGCCGCCCAGGTGTTGGGCTCCTGCGATGCTCCTTCAACACGTATCATCGGGCACGTGGTCCCACGTGCACGCCTCGAGGAGATTCTCAGCACGGCCGTGTTCGGCGCAGGCGTCGCAGCGGAGGCGCACGACGACTCTGGCATTTTCCCGGCAAGGCCCCGCAATACACCCGTGATCTTGCTGCTCCACGGCTCCTGGGTCCAGCTCGGACTGGCCAGGACACAATCTATGTGTGGTTCAGGATGTTCCTTCTGTGTGCGGCGCGACAAGGACTCAGGGATGCGCAGCAAGGGATGGTCAGGTAGTGGTTAGGTGGGTGGTGAAAAATCAAAAAGGATGACTAACTGATGCCCGATGTTCGGGGCGGCCAAGAAGGGGGTGTCCAAGAGGGGGGGGCGCAAATCATGACCGGCGACGTGTGCGCGGCCCAAGGCCATGAAATCTGGGGAGATTTCATGGCCTCCGCCATGAGATCCACCCAACCTGGTCATCACCCCCCTCTTGGCCGCCTCCGAAATGTTGAACAACAGCCGCAACCATCCGCGCAATGTCTCTGCAACAAGAACTGTCGCATTACCTTAAAAAGGGTCTCACGTGAGCGGCGATAAAAGACGGGTCTGGCGCGAGATGCCATACAGACCTTACGCGATGCCTCACGCATGTCGCCAGCGCGGAACGCTACATTGGAGACGAAGGCGCCTACGCGCCACCTTACGCGGGCAACTGACGCGCCGATGTCAGCGCAAACGACCCCTGTGTTTTGCGTCGCCCACATGCCAATCCCGATCGGCAAAAGATCTGCCCTCCACCCGCGCAACTGATAACAACATTTAAGACGAACGTGCATGGCACCATGGCATGAACCACGATTACGCAACAACCTCCCTCCATCCGTGAATATGTGGGAAACGCGGCGCCAAGGCGAGAAATCCATGTCGAATACGATCCCCCTTCCATCCGTGGATATTTTGGAAGCTTGAAGGCGAACGTGTGCGAAAATAAGGCGGTAACTACATGTGAAAACCACCCCCTACATCCGTGTGGCTGTTAGGATCTGTTAGCAAAAATGTGCGCTGCGCAAAAAATAGGAACATGTTGAAACCAACGATCATCCGCCCGTGTAACAGCTGGAGCGTTTCAAGCGAACGTGTGCGGAAGTAAAGCGAGAAACACATGTTGAAAACCACCGCCCTCCATCCGCGCCACTGGCGGGACCTGTTACGTAAGACGCATGCGCGCGAACACAATAATTTGAACGCCGCCTCATCCGTCCGCGCAACAATTGGCAATCTCAAATTTCGGGGTCGTGAACCGAAGGAACGCCTGGCCCGCCCTGCCGTCACGTCTGGTGGCCAGACGAGGCGGAAGTATCTATGAGGAGCAGTGGAAGCGGAGGCATGGGGGGTAGCGGAGAACGACGGAGAGGGAGGAAGAATATTAGGGGCAATCCCTCCTCCTCTCTGTTCCCTGCCATCTGTCACCCTCCCTCCGAAACCTTCCTGCAACACTCCAGGCCAATCCGAAGGCACCCGGCAGTGGCTGTTCGACAGCGGCTATGCACAGCGAGCAGCCGTGGACCGAGGCCCCGAAAGCCTCCTCCCTCTCCTCCACCCTCATCCCCTTTCTCTCTCCTCCTGAAGCACTTCCAAGGGCGCCGAATTTCGCGCTTCGCGCTGTGCCAAGCGCGAATAGCTTTGTGCTCTCGCGCCGCTCCCCAGGGGAGGAGAAGAGGACGGAGAGAACTCGGAGCCGAACCGCGACGCGCGAACACTTTCGCGCCCTCGAGGGCGCCATTGCTCAAGCACTTCGGCTCAGATCCCCTGAGCACCCTCTTTCGGCTCCGCCCTGCGCGGCACGGATGCGCTGGCTTGCTGGAAGATCAGCGCCCCTCTAACGGGGACTCCACTAACGGGTACTTTGGCCAGTGACCCAGCGAACCCAACCCTCCCCGATGCGGGCAACGCTGCAATGCCAGAAAGAGGCCCCAAAGCGGCAACTTTCGGCACATCTCCAAAATACCCGTTAGTGAGTACCCGTTACGGTGCCGCCGATGGGAGAGTGCCCGACGGGGCCCGGGTGCTCCTTGCGCCTCCACGTGGTGTCGGGGGGGGGTGTCGCTCCAGCCGTGGACCCGTCCATCGCTCCCAGCGGCAGCTGAAGCAAGGAGCTCGGCTCCGAGGGCTACGGTTTCCTCCCTCCTCCCTCTCATCTCCTCCCCCCCCTCCCCGCCCCCTTTCGCCCACCCCCACCCCCCCTACCCATCGGTCGGAAGAAGTAGGTAGAAACATGAAGCAGGAAAGCGTTGGAAATAGATTGGGCTTCCGCACGCCTCCTGACGAGGAAGGAAGAGGGAAAACCACTCGACTCTTGAAGTAGGAAGGCGCTGAAAGTAGATTGGAATCTGGGAATCCAAAAATACCTACTTTCAACGACCGATGGGTACCTCCCCCGCCCCCCCGAGCGTGACCGACTTGGCCGTCTTCGGCGCGCCGCCGCTGACCGCCTGGTTGCCCTCGCGCTCCCGCCGCGACCTCGCAGGGGCAGGAGAGCCTAGATTCGAGGCGTTAATCTAAGGAACCCAGAATAAGGAACGAGGCCCCTTTTTTCCATAAGTTAAACTTCGATGTCCTATCGAAACCCTAAGCAAAACCAAAGGCGAACTGCGAAACATTTAAGGAACGCGGAGCCCCTCCCCAACCAAAAGGGTTCCTTCTTCAGGGCCCCGACTGTAGA